AGATTACCAGGCCTTTCTTCCGGGGGACCTCGGGATAGACTCAAGCCTCCAGCCTTTCAGTTAGCACCAAGGACATTAACTATTTGCACCACCCAGGGACTCCTTTAAAAAAAATTAATAAATTCACATTGCACTGATGTTCAAAGGAATGTACTAAAACATTGCTGTATATTTTCTGAATAGCTTACTTAGGAAGAAATATTGTATTGTACATGGAAAGATGCCTAGAAGGACATTCACCAAAAAGATCAGTCTCTGAGTAGCAGGATTTTAGGCAATTTTTACTTCTTTATTCTTGTCTCCATTATATTTATATATATATTTTTTAAATTATAATAAATAAAGTGGTGAAAGTCTTTCTAGGCATATTTCCCATGTTCATATACATAAAATAGATGCATGTTTTTTCATTTTACATAAATAGGATCACCTTGGATTCATTGTAACTTTTTTTTTTTTACACTGAACAATGTTAGGAATCTCCTTTATGATCGGTTGTTATCATGTACATTATAATCTTCAGTATTTGCCATAGTATTATGTTGTATATATGTATGTAGGAGCTCTGGTAGCATAGTGCCTAAGCACTTGACTGCTAACCAGAAGGTTGGCGGTTCAAACCCACCAGCCACTCCTCGGAAGGAAGGTTGGGCAATCCTACTTCCATAGTGATACTGCCTCAGAAACCCAAGGAGGGGTCGCTATGAGTTGGGGCCGACTCGACGGCAAATAACAACAACAACATATGTATGTATGTATATACTCTTCTGTCACCATAATTACAGATGAATGTTTAGGTAATTTCCAATTCTTCATTTTAATAAAGAGCAGTGTTAGGAAAATACATAGCATCAGAGGTTCTCTAACTTCACAAGATGGATGGAGAATCAAGATCAACATCAGTCCAAAGCTGATTCCCGAGGTGTGGAGGTCAGACTTACCTCTGCTCTCCAGCCTTTTTACCAGTTTTGGCAACAGCCACCCCTTGCACAGCACTCCACTGGGTTCAGTAATTCCTTGCAATGGCCACATGGAACTCACAGATTGTCGTCACAATATGGGATTTATTAGGGAAGTAACAGATTATAAATCAGGACCAGCTTTGAAGTAACAAGAACAACTCAGGATACAACTGTTCATTATGGACAGATTTTTCAGCCCTGCCAGCAGGCTGACCTCACTCTCAGCATTTAGCTCTCAGCCCTTGCTCTAGGCCTGGCCTCTGCCCTGCTTGTTTCTTGTTTCACCAATAAGTGCCTGGAAGTACCCTACCTGGCCAGGAAGCCTCATGCCTGAAGGCACTCAGCTCTCTCATTCCATAGGTTGGCAGCCCTAGCCCACTGCTTCCTTCTTATGCTGTCTTGAATTCTCTCTCTCTCTCTCTCTCCCTCTCTCTCTCTCTCTCTCTCAAATGCTCGTAACATCATTGTTCAACCAGCTTTTCAAACTTACTATATGACCAAGTTAGTTAAAACCACACTCTTCGGTTTCTTCCTTGGAAATAGGGCTTACTTGAAAGGATAGTTCTGAGGATCAAATGATGTAATGCATTTTATGATAATACAAGGCATTTATAACAATGTGTGGTATATAATAAGTGTTCCTTAATTATTAACTATTATCACCATTAAGGAGTTCTAGTGGTGTAGTGGTTAACACATTCAGCTGCTAATCAGGAGGCTGGCGCTTCAAACCCACCAGTTGATCCATAGGAGAAAGATGAGGCAGTCTGCTTCCCTAAAGATTTACACCCTTGGGCTAAAGGATTAGGTATGTCTATTCAGGGAGGAGTGTGCCCATGATCATGTTGGCAGACTGTTTCCACAAGTGTATTTGTATGTTCTGTAAGAATTTCCAGGTATATAGTCAGGCTGACAAGGGATAAGGTTGTAGTCACTTCTTGGCCACAGCTGGCTACCCAGAGAGAGCAAGTAGTTGGAACTGTGGGCTCGGGACCATGGTCACAGGGGACATCAAGCTCAATTGGCATAACATACTACACAAAACATTGTTCTACATCCTATTTTGGTGAGTGGCAACTGGGATCTTAAAAGCTTGCAGGTAACCATCTAGATGCAATGATGGATCTCTCCTCGTCCAGAGCAAAGAAGAATGAAGAAAACCAAAGATGAATGGAAACAATTATTCCAAGCGACTGGTATAATATGCAGTCCTCAGCCTACACAACTATGAGATAAGAAGAACTAGATGGTGCCTGGCTACTACCGTAAACCACTAGGAGGGGGATGTATGTAGGAGATCCTGGGTAGAGTGGGAGAGCAATGTGGAACAAAACTCAAAATCATAAAAAAAAAAAAAAGGTGGGGAGAACCAGGTGTGCTGGTCTGATAGAGGCTGGTGGAACTGCTGAGACTATGGTCTCTAGCTGCCCTTCAGGTCTGGAATTGAACCCACTCCAGTGACTTCCAGCCAAACAAGACAGACATATGAGCTGAACATTTACATTAGGTGGATACACTCCTTGAAGAAAGCAATCATGGGAGAACAGAAGGGCTGTGTATGCACAGGGAGATAGCTCGGGGGGAGCAGGTGTGCATGAGAGGGAAGGACACAGGGAAGAGGTAACTATGGGGAGGAAGTGAGAGGGGAACTGTTGCATTGTGGGAAGTTGCAGTGAATGTCATGAGACAGTATACGTGAGCTGCTGTATGGAAAATGAATTTGCTCTGTGAAATTTCACCTAAATTACAATAAAATAAAATAAATGATTTACAGTCTTGAAAACCCTATTGACCAGTTCTACTCTGTCCTGTAGGGTCACTATGAGTCAGAATCGACTTGATGGCAATAGGTTTGGTTTTCTGGTATCGTTGTTGTTAGGTGCCGTCGAGTCGTCTCCGACTCAGCGACCCTATGCACAGCAGGACGAAACACCACCCAGTCCTGCGCCAGCTCCGTGATCCTTGCTATACTTGAGCCCAACACCGCCGCCACTGTGTCAATCCATCTCATTGAGGGCCTTCCCCTCTCTCGTTGACCCTCCACCTTACCAAGCATGACATCCTTCTCCAGGGAGTGTGGTCTCTTCTGACAACATGACTAAAGTAGGTGAAATGAAGTCTGGGCATTGTTGCCTCCAAGGAGCATTCTAGCTGTACTTCGTCCAGGACAGATCTGTTAGTTCTTTTAGCAGTCCGTGATACTCTCAGCATTCTTCACCAACCCCACAACTCAAAAGCATCAATTCTTCTTCAGTCTTCCTTATTCATTGTCCAGCTCTCACATGCATATGAGGTGGCTGAAAATACCATAGTTTGTGTCAGGTGCACCTTAGTCCTCAAGGAGACATCTTTGCTCTTCAGCACTTGAAAAAGATCCTTTGCAGCCAGTTTGCCTAGTGCTATATGTCATCTGATGTCCTGACTGCTGCTTCCACTGGTGTCGATGTAGAACCAAGCAATGTGAACTCTTTGACAGCTTCACTCTTTTCTCCATTTATTGTGATGCTGCTTATAGGTCCAGTTGTGAGGATTTTTGTTTTCTTTATATTGAGATGTCATCCTCACTTAACAGCAAGCAAAATTGTGTTATCAGCATATTGCAGGTTGTTAATGATTCTTCCTCCAATCCTGATGCCATGTTCTTCTTCATATAGTCCACCTTCTTGGATTATTTGCTCAGCATACAGATTGAATAAGAATGGTGAAAGGATAAAACCCTGACACATTCCCTTCTTGATTTTAAACCATGCAGTGTCCCCTCATTCTGTTTGAATAACAGCCTCCTGATCTGTATACAGGTTCCTCATGTGTACAATTAAGTGTTCCGGAATTCCCATTCTTCTCAATGATATCCACAATTTGTTATGATCCACACAATCAAATGCTTTTGCATAGTCAATGAAACACAAGTAAATTTTTCTGGTATTCTCTGCTTTGAGCCAGGATCCATCTGACATCAGCAATGATATCCCTCATTCCACATCCTCTTCTGAATCCAGCTTGCATTTCTGAAAGTTCTCTGTTAATATACTGCTGCAACCATTTTGGAATTATCTTCAGTAAAATTTTAATTGCATGTGGTATTAATGATATTGTTTGATAATTTCCATGTTCTGTGGGATCACCTGTCTTTGGAATGGGCACAAATATGGATCTCTGCCGGTCAGTTGGCCAGGTAGCTGTCTTCCAAATCTCTTGGCATAGCCGAATGAGTGCCTCCAGGGGGGCATCCATTTGTTGAAACATCTCAATGGGTATTCCATCAATTCCTAGAGCCTTGTTTTTCCCCAAGTCCTTCAGTGCAGCTTCGACTTCTTCCTTCAATGCCATTGGTTCCTGAACACATGCCACCTCCTGACATCAATGAAGATTGACCAGTTCTTTTTAGTACAGTGACTCTGTATTCCTTCCATCTTCTTTTGATGCTTCCTGCATCATTCAGTATTTTGCCCATAGAATCTTTCACTATTGCAACTCGAGGCTTCAAGTTTTTTTCTGAGTTCTTTCAGCTTGAGAAATGTCAAGCATTTTCTTCCCTTTTGGTTTTCTAACTCCAGGGGTTTGCACATTTAATTATAGTAATTGGCTTTGTCTGCTCAAGCTGCCCTTTGAAATCTTCTGTTTACCTCTTTTGTCTTGTCATTTCTTTTGCCTCATCTTTCTCCCATGGAGTGGCTGGTGGGTTTGAACTGCCACCCTGGTTAGCAGCCAAATGCTACTTGCCTTTTATACATGCTGATTCTTTAGGATTATGTCATTTGCCTTTTTCTTTGTACGATCATTTGTAGGATGAGACTGCAAATGACTTTGAGGCTTGCCTTTTAAGTACTATAGGGTAATTAAACCACAATTTTACTATTGATTCTATAATTACTATAATGAATATGCATTATGGAAGATGCTACCTAATTATCAGAATCCTTGTATTTAAATAGATAAATTTCAAGTTAAAAACATACCAGATCGTTTAAATGAAGTATGATTGTTAGTCATCTAGAAAGAAAGAAAGACTCACATTAATTATGTTTTTTGTCACAGAGTACTTCATGTTGGCGGAACCATTGTACTATTACTAAGTGAAGATTACCACAGGCATCTTAAAGATTGTCACCAGAACAGCATCCCTTTGAATTCCAAGAGCAGCCACACAGATGAACCTGGAATTAAAAAGTGCTTGAATTCTGAGGGAAAAAATGGCATATCAGAGACATTGTCGTCTTCATATCAAGCCAGTAACCAAGAGGACGTAGACAAAATGTCACCATTTGGCTCTTTGGTGCCAGTGGAATGCTACAAAGTTAGCCTTGGAAAAACAGATGCATTTATATCTAAATATAGGAAGTCACACTCCTCTGGACTATAGCAGTCTCACTACTGTACACCAGGTTCAAGTCCCTGTATCTTAGCTGTACTGCAGTAAAAGATGATTGTCTCAAGGATTCTTTGTAGTGGCAGAGAGTTCTAGGTCAGTAAATCCCCTGAAGGCAGGAGATGGGGCTGCTGGATACAGGTTCTTAGTTAGAGTTTCTCCTTTATAATCTAAAGGGATGAAAGTTTCTGACAAAGAGCAGTTAATGAATATTTAAGCTAAAGGACTTCAAACTTTTTGTATTTTGTGAAAAGATATACTTGGCCATGCATTGTTTCTGAGCAGCTTCATCTCAAAACAGAAGTTTTTATGAGTTCACATAAAATGTGTTACAGTCAACACAAGGTTGATTATAGTGCTGTAACTACCAAATTTTTAGTAATGGAGGAACCTTGTGTATAAATTCTTCTGGTATTAAACTAGATTTTTTAAATGATGTTGGTCTCCATTGGCATGAAAATAGTTTTTACTTGTAACACATTTTTGTGTCCCATGTACATACAGCATCAATGGGGATAATAATACGAATTAAGCCAGTATCCTTTTAGGAAAAAAGTTTCCTTTTTCTCTAAACATGTTAATAAATCATCATCTATCTCACTCTTAAAGAAAGTAAAGTAGTGTTCACTACTTGAGAAGAAGGAGCAGGCAGTTGATGAATATATATGTTCAAATTTGTTTTTCAATAGCCTGATATAGTGACTCAGCTTTCTAGCTGCTAAAGGGTCTTTTGAACAACTTCCCTAAAATTTCCTGCTCTGTGAGTTTCACCTCTCTAAAGTGGAAGCCCACTGAAATGCATGAGTCAGAGATTGATACTGAAAGGGGTTGCAGGCAACAACTCTCAGAAATGTGACTGTGATAGTGGTTATCTGACCTGCTTGAGTTAAAGGCAGTGAGGATGCAGCTAGTATTCAAGGAAGCATACAGCAGTAATGAAACAATTCATCACCCCGTGCTTACCTGCTGCTGTGGAAAATATCAAGAACCTGAAGAATACAAACACTGGTATAGGCCATCTGCTTTTAAAAGAACTTGACAGTGTAAAGAAAAAGATCAAGATTCCTGTAGTTGTAACTTCTTGGGTTAAGGTAGTAGTTCTCAGAGAACCATGCAGAGGTAGTTTTGCTCCCCAGGGGACATTTGACAATGTCTTCTTACATTTTTGTTGTCACAACTTGGGGAGGTACTGCTGACATCTAGTGGGTAGAGACCAGAAATACTATTTGTCTTAGGCTGTGCTCTCTAGAAGAACAAAACTAGTGAAGCATATATATAAATATATGTTGTTGTTAGATGCCGTTGAGTTGGTTCTGACTCATAGCGACCCCATGCACAACAGAACGAAACACTGCCCAGTCCTGCACCATCCTCACAATCCTTGCTTGAGCCGATCGTTGCAGCTACTGTGTCAATCCATTTCCTTGAGGATCTTCCCCTTTTTCACTGACCCTCTGCTTTACCAAGCATTATTGCCTTTAGGGAATAATCCCTCTGACAGCGTGACCAAACTAGGTGAGATAAAGTCTGGCTTCTCACTTCCAAAGAACATTCAAGTTGCACTACTTCCAAGATAGATTTGTTCATTCTTCCACCAGTCCATGGTATTTTCAGCATTCTTTGTCAATACCACAATTCAAAGGCTTCCATTCTTCAGTCTTCTGTATTCGCTGTCCAGCTTTCACGTGTATATGAGGTGATTGAAAATACATGGCTTAGGTAAGGCACACTTTAGTCTTCAAAGTGATATCCTTGCTTTTTAACACTTTAAAGAGGTCTTTTGCAACAGACTTACCCAATACAATATAGCATCTGATTTCTTGATTGCTACTTCCATGTGGGTGTGGATTATAGATCCAAGTAAAATGAAATCCTTGACAACTTGAATCTTTTTTCCATTTACCATGATGTTGCTTATTGGTCCAGTTGTGAGAATTCTTATTTTGTTTACTTTGAGATATAATCCACCTGAAGACTGTAGTCTGTAGTCTTTGCTTTCCATCAGTAAGTGCTTCAAGTCATCTTCACTTTCAGCAAGCAAGGTTGTGTCATCTGTATATCGCAGGTTGTTTATGAGTCTTCCTCCAGTCTTTATGCCATCTTCTTCGTATAGTTCAGCTTCTCGGATTATTTGCTCAGCATACAGATTGAATAAGTATGGTGAAAGAATACAACCCTGATGCCCATCTTTCCTGATTTTAAACCTTTTAACAAATATCCCCTTGTTCTGTTCAAATGATAGCTTCTTGGTCTATGTACAGGTTCTTCATGAGCACAATTAAGTGTTCTGAAATTCCCATTCTTTGCAGTGTTATCCATAATTTGCTAGGATCCACATAGTCAAATACCCTTGCATAATCAATAAAACACAGACAAACATCTTTCTGTTATTCTTTGCTTCCAGCCAAGATCCACCTGACATCAGCAGTGATACCCGTCATTGCACATCCTCTTCTGAATCCACCTTGAGTTTATGGAAATACATGTAGAGAGATTTATTTCAAGGAAATGGCTTATGCAGTTGTAGAGACTGGCAAGTGCAAATCCTGTGTGTCAGGGGGCAGGCTGGAAGTTTCTCCTGACTCATGTGCTTCCAGGGTCTGATGAACCCAAAATCTGCAGGTCAAGCAGCAGGCCAAAAACTTCTCACAATCCAAGAACCAGAAGTCAGGATGACACGATGAGTGCAGGATTGGGAGCCAGCAAGCTTTGCCAGAATATTTATGTCATGAGTGCAAGCCACAGCCCCAAGGAAACTCCATTTCTAATTGATTGGCTGTTCACATCAGATCACAAAATGGAAGGTAATTACAGAGTGTCTGCCAAACCACTGAGAATTATAGTCTACCCAAGTTGATGCATAATATTAACCACACTACTAAGGCCCCTCACAACAAAGAATTATCTGGCCCAAAATGTCAACAATGGCAAAGCTGCAAAGCCTGGTAGAAGATGGCAGGAATTACTTATGACTAAGAGAGAAAGAACCCTGGTGGCACAGTGGTTAAGCACTTGGCTGCTAACTGAAAGGTCAGGCATTTTAACCCGCCAGCCACTCTGTGAGAGAAAAAATGTGACTTTCTACTTCTGTAAGAATTATAGCCTTGGGAACCCTATGCCCTATGGAACAATTCTCTGTCCTATTGGGTCGCTATGTGTCAGAATCAATGGCAGTGGGTTTGGTTTGGTTTAGGTTTATTTCTAAGAGGCTACCTCTGATATCCAGAGGACTGAGATTGCTGAAAAGCAAACCCAGAGTTTGGTCCTATAGGATGTTGTTATGGATTGAATTATGTCCCCAAAGAAGATACTGAAGTCCTAACCCCTGTACCTATGAATGTGACCTTGTTTGAAAATAATACATTTTTTTAATCAGTTGAATTGGATCAACTGGAAGGCACACGACAACATTACTGGAGTAGGGTGAATCCTAATCCTATCCCTTCTAAGTGGTGTCTTAGGAAAGAACAGGAATAGAGTTTTACACAGGGGAAGACAGACACCATGGGGTGAAGGAGGCAGGTATATCCATAAAGGAGCAAAGAAATGCCAAAGATTGCTGGCAGCAACAGGAAACTAGGAGAAAAGCACACAGAAGGAATTGACATGGCCAAGACCCTAATTTGAACATCTAACCATCAGAACTGTGAGAAAATAAATTACTGTTCTATAAAGTCACCCACATTATGCTTTTTTGTCATGGCAGCCCTAGGTAACTAAGACAGATGATGAATTATTTCAATAGCAATCACATCCTAACTGGGTCTCCCCAGTGAAAATTAGTGGAGACACAGGAAAGGACTGAGAGGACTCAGAGCACTTCAGACCCCACTGAGCCTCCTTCGCCAGCAGAAGCTGCTTCTGCTCCTTTGATCCTGAAGCTCTTGTATGACTTGAAAATCCTGAGATTAAACTAGTGCTACCTTCCAAGTGGAAACCAGTTTTCCTCATGCCCCATCCCTTCTACCTCTTACTGCTTTTAGGACTATAACTGAAGTCAGTCTAGCAGGCCTTGGAGCTGGAGAGAAAAGGGCTGGCGCATAAGAAAGATTTTAAGCATTGCTGATTTGTATGACATAATCCTAAAGAGTATGTGAGAATGGATTCTGTCATACCAGAGGGAGACAAATACAGTTTTCAATCAAATTGAATTTGTTGATATAGTATACTTAGGAAAGATTCTGAATTTAATATATGTTTCAGTTTCCTAAAGGAGTTCTGGTGATATGTGGTTAAAGAATTTGGCTGCTAACCAAAAGGTTGGTGGTTCGAGCCGACAAGCTGCTCTGCCAGAGAAAGATGAGGCAGTCTGCTTCCCTTTTTAACAGCCTTGGAAACCCCTATGAGGCAGTTCTACTCTGTCCTATAGGGTCACTATGATTCAGAATCAACTGGGTGGTGCATTTGGGTGTAGTTTTTATTACTTTCCTAGGACTATTGTAACAAATTACTACAAACTGGATGGCTTAAAACAAAAATTTATTCTCTCACAGTTCTGGAAGCTAGAAGTCCAAAATCACAGTGTCAGTTGGGCCGTGCTCTCTGAAGACTCTTGAGAAATTCTTTTATATCTTCTTAGCTTTTGCTGTTGCTGGCCATCCTTGGCATTCCTCAGTTTACAGATACATCATTCCAATCCCTACCTACATGGTCCCATGGTGTGCGTGTCTCTGTCTGTGTCTGTGTCTGTGTCTCTTCTTATAAGGACAATAATCATATTGGATTTAGGCCCACCCTACACAAGTATGACCTCACCTTAGCTAATTACAACAGAAAAGACCATGTTTCCAAATAAGATCACATTCTGAGATTCCTGGTGCACAGTAAATTGTTTTGTAGGGAAGAGGGGTGCAAAGGGTGGCCACTGTTCAACCAAGTACACCAGGATGGGATGAATAGCTGAGAAGGGTTCTAACAGTCTGATATGTCAGTTGACTGAAATGTGCACTCAATGGTTTGAAATCTGCACTCATACTACGTGAAGTTAAAATGCC